TGGTCAGTGAAAACCTTAAGGATAACAGCAGAACATTGTCTAATATAGTGCCAGAAGATGAGCCCCTCAGGTTGGAACGCACTCAAAATATGACTGGAGAGGAGCTGCCTCCTCAAAGTAGAGTCGACCTTAATGATGTGGATGGAGGAAAGCTTTGGGGACGTTCATTTGCTAATGTGGCATGACTCAAAATGAGAAGAAACAGCTACAAACATCCATTTATGACTGGAACGTGGAATGTACGAAGTATGAATCAAAGAAAATTGAAAGTCATCAAAAATGAAACGGAACACTTGAAGATCGATATCGTAGGCAATAGTGAGCTGAAATGGACTGGTATTGGCCATTTTGAATCAGACAATCATATGGTCTACTATGCTGGGAATGACAAAGAGGAATAGCGTCGCATTCATCATCAAAAAGAATATTTCAAGATGTATCCTGGAGTACAATGCTGTCAGTGATAGGATAATATCCATACTCCTACAAAGAAGACCAGTTAAGATGACTACAGACAGTCCCCAGGTTACAAACGTCCAACTTAGGTACATCCTGTAGTTATGAACCAATCCCTATAAGGCCTATGATATTAAAAATTTGAGGTACATACATTGTAATGTATTACAATGTAATAACAAGTGGGCGCTACTTTGTGACATGTATCAAAACATTAGTATTATTATTACTGTATTTACTGTATGTTAAAGATGTTTTAGTGTATCTGGAAGTGTTTCCTTAACGTTTCTTATGAACAGAACGGTATACTATATATTAAGACAAACATTTAACTAACTGATGTTAGATGCAAACTGTACCCAACTGTTCCAATTTACATACAAGTTCAACTTAAAGACAGATTCAGGAATGTAACTCGTTCATAATCTGGGGACTGCCTGTATTATTCAAATTTACGCACCAACCACTAATGCCAAAGATGAAGAAATGGAAGATTTTTACCGACCTCTGCAGTCTGAAGTCTATCAAACATGCAGTCAAGATGCATTGATAATTACTGGTGATTGGAACACAAAAGTTAGAAACAAAGAGGAAGGATCAGTAGTTGGAAAATACGGCCTTGGTGGTAGAAACGACAGGCGATCACATGACAGAATTTTGCAAGACCAAACAAGTTGTTCGGAAACCCTAGTGGCATAGTGGTTAAGAGTTCGGCTGCTAGTCAAAAGGTCAGCAGTTTAAATCCACCACGTGCACCTTGAAAACCCTGTGGGGCGGTTCTACTCTGTCCTGTCGGGTCACTATGAGTTGGAATCAACTAGACAGCAACGGTTTTTTTTTTAACGACTTATTCATTACAAATACGTTTTTAAACAACATAAACAGCATCGATACACGTGCACCTTGCTGGATGGAATACACAGGAAGAAGAACTCAGCATCAGGATTGGAGGAAGAATCATTAACAACCGGTCATCAACAACCAGCAATATACACATGATACAACCTTGCTGGGTGAAAGCGAAGAGGACTTGAAGCACTTACTGATGAAGATCAAAGACCACAGCCTTCAGCATGGATTACGCCTTAACATAAAGAAAATAAAAATCCTCACAACTGGACCAGTAAGCAATATCATGATAAACAGAGAAAAGACTGAAGTTGTCAAGGATGTCATTTTACTTGGATCCTCAATCAACACCCATGGAAACAGCATTGGGCAAATCTGCTGCACAAGACTCGTTTAAAGTGTTAAAAAGCAAAGATGTCACCTTGAGGACTAAGGTGCGCCTGACCTAAGCCATGGTATTTCAATTGCTTGGTATACATGCAAAAGCTGGACAGTGAATAAGGAAGACTGAAGAAGAATTGATGAATTTGAATTACAGTTTTGGCAAAGAATATTGAGTATGCCATGAACTTGCAGAACAAACAAATCTGTCTTGGAAGAAGTACAGCTAGAATGCTCCTTAGAAGCAAAGATGGCAAGACTTCATCTCACATACTTTGGACATGTCATTAGGAGGGACCAGTCCCTGGAGAAGGACATCATGCTTGGTAAAGCAGACAAACAGCTAAAAAAGCAGACCCTCAAGGAGATGGATTGACACAGTGGCTGCAATGATGGGCTCAAGCACAGAAACGACTGTGAGGATGGTGCAGGACTGAGCAGTGTTTTCGTTCCATTGTGCATAGGGTTGCTATGAGTCAGAACCTGACTCGACAACACCTAACAACAACAATAGAGAGTGATACAAAAATGGCAAGACTGAACCCTGTCAAAGGCAAAAAACTTGTGAGACCCAGAAAAACAAAACAGTTCCATCAAGTTTTGGCTCTCAAAGGTTTCATTGTAATGCTAATAGTAATAAGTAATAGCTTATTTAGGACATGTAGAAAAGAGGGAGCACTGGTGGTTCAGTGGTAGAATTCTCACCTTCCATAAGGGAGACCTGGGTTCAATTCCCAGCCACTACACCTCATACACATGTCTATCAGTGAAGGCTACATGTTGCTATGATGCTGAACAGGTTTCAGCAGAGCTTCTAGACTAAGACAGGCTAGGAAGAAAGACCTGACAATATACTTCCAAAAATCTGCCAATGAAAACCTTATGGTTCACAATGGTCTAATCTGCAACTGGTCTTGGGGATGGTGCAGGAATGAGCAGCATTATTTCTGTGGTGCATGGGATCATCAAGAGTTGGGGGCTCACTCATCGGCCGCTAACAACAACAACAACGTTTAGGAGGTGATTGCAATCATCCACGTGAGAGATGACAAGGGCTTGGAGTGCGTGATGGCCAGTAGAGAGAAGAGTGGGAAGGTTAAAATGAATGGGAGTTAGCGATGGATTGGATGTGGAGATAAAGGACAGGATGACGTCCAGGATAGCTCCCACCTGTGGCTTAGACAGACGGATGGGTGGTGGGACCCAGATCTGCGATGGGAACCACTCGGAATGACCAGGGGAGGGGAGGTGGGTAAGATCATGAGTCGTACCATCTTCTATTTGTTCTCCACTGGAGCCCCCTCCCAGAGCCGTCTTTAACCATGGTATGCCTTCACCTGCCTCCTGTTCTCCAGGCTCTAACATGGCGACATGGAGGCTTTAGCACAGAGCTCCTATTGCTCTGGACATAAAGGTGGCTATGACATGTCTCTCACCTCTAGACTTTTGCACAAGCTGTGCTCTCTGCCTGCAAGACCTTGCTCCCTCTTCTTTGCCTGGTCAACACTCATTCTTCAGGTCTTGACTTAGAAGTCAAACGCTCTGGGTTAGGCGCCTCTTCTATGTAATCCCATGGTCCTCTCTACACCCCAGCGTCCCATGTTATGGCATCCACCACACTCAGTCACAATAGCACATTTAATTGTCAGCCCCTCACCCCGCTGGATTGTGAACCCCATGAGGAGAGGAGCACATCTGTCTGGTTTGTTACTATAGCCCTGGCCCTTGCTATCTTGCCTGGCACATACTCAATAAGCATGTGTTGAATGAATGAATAAATGAAAGAGTGACTTTTTCTTAATGGACAGGAGGCAGGATAGCCAAGAAGTCAAGGGCATGGTTCAGGAGCCATACTGCCTGCATTGGACTCCAGCTCCAGCTATTTAGCTCTGTAATCTTGGGCAACTTAGTTAACCTCTCTGTACCTCAATTTTCTCATCTGTAAAATGGGGATGATAAAGTTGCTTGGCATACAGTAAGTGTTCATTGAATGCTAGCTTTTAGTATTAGTCCCTCGGAGTTCTCTGTGATTTCTGTCTTGGACTTAGCCCACGAAACCATAATTGATGGCTTCCTTACCAGCCTGGATGCCTCCAAGCTGATGGAGTTTGAGCCCTGCCTCTTTTCTGACTTTATCTCCTGGCATTCCACCTCCTCCTACTCTCCAACTACATTGACTTCCTCGCTGGTCCTTTGAACTTAACAAGCTCACCCCTACCCCAGGACCTTTGCACTTGCCTTTCTTCCTTCCACTCCGTCACCATCATTTCCCCGTTTATATTCTTATCACAACCTCAAATCCTATTGTTCATGTACTAGTTTACGTGTTATTTGTCTCTTCTTTCACAAGAATTCCCAGGAGGCCAGGGACCCTGTCTGTATTGTTCACTGTTATATCCACAGTACCTAACATTGCCTAGCACATAGTAGGTGCTCAATAAATATTGGTTGAATGAATGAATGTCCTGTTTCAAGTTCACTGCCTGCTGCTGTACTCCCAGGCCTGCGGATCACTCAGCATTGGCTTGTCTTCTGGCCTCCCTTGCTTGGCTATCACATCAGGGCGTCCCCGCTGCCTCTGCCTTAACCCCTGATGCTTGTCTGATGCATGGACACACTTGGCACCAGGCAGATTGGCAACTACTCAGAAACATGCAAGACAGAATGTGATCCTTATCGGTGAGGTCTAACATGGATCGGTCAACATCGGCCAACGTGGGACTTACCCCACCTCACTTACTGGGCAGTGTGTTTACAGAGGTGAAGACAAATGGGGACTGAAGGTGTTCAAAACAGAGGAAACAATAAATGCAAAGGCCCTGAGGCAGGAACCTAAAAATTGGGGAAAACCGAGCATCCTTCAAAACCTTCTAATTCAGACCTTCCTGTTTTTCCATTGTATTTGCCAGAAAAGGTGAGTTTGGGCTGTAGAAAGAAGACGCAGTCATCCAAGTCACCTGGCATAGTCCAAGGTTTAATTCCTCAGCCCCAAGGGCTGTTAGCATTCAGAGAGGCGGACGGTGTCCTTTCAGCCATTATTCATCCAACAAACATTCATTGAGCACCTACTATGTGCCAGACCCTGTGCTAGACCACCTTTTAGTTCCTGACCCCTCTCCCCAGAACAGAACCTTCCATGGTGCCTCCTTGCATGCCTGTGTGCAACCAGGGAGGATGACATCCCTTTCTGTACACAGGCAGTGGGTGACTCAGGCAGATTGCAGGAAGAACAAAGTTTCTCCCAGTCCCAGTGGAGAAACTGCACAGTCCCCTCAAGAGCTTGCCTAACGCTCCATCTGCATTCTCTCCTGCAGCCCCCAGCCTCTGGAAAGCAGTCCCCCACAAAGAATGGTAGCCCCTCCAAGTGTCCCCGCTTCCTCAAGGTCAAGAACTGGGAGACTGACGTGGTTCTCACTGACACCCTCCACCTTAAGAGCACTTTGGTGAGTATCCCAGTAGGGTGCAGACCAGGCTTGCTCCACCTCAGTGCTGTCCACATTTGGGGCCGGATAATTCCTTGTTGTAGGGGGGTATTCTGTGCATTGTAGGATGTTTAGCAGCACCCTTGGTCTCCACCCACTAAATGTCTGTTACCGCCCCCCCCCCCTCAAGTTGTGACAACCAAAAATGTCTCCAGACAGTACCAAGTACCCCCTAGGGGAAGAATTGCCCAGTTGAGAATCACTGGTGGAGAGTCATTCACTTACATAAATTTTTTTATTTGTGTACTTTGTACACAAAAGAACATAGGAGGGGTTACTGGCTCTGAATACATTCTCTTTGTCTCTGTCTGACCACTGATGGAGTATTGAATAGGCCCTTCCTTGCTTCCACAGTGTGTCCTTTAAGTTTTTATATCATATTTTTAACAGTCAACAAGTCAACCTGTTGCGGTGCAACAAAATGCCTCCAAAACTTGGTGGCTTAAAACCAGCATTATTTTTTTTAATTTATTATTTTTCAAAAACCTACCAGTTGTTGCATGGTTCTGTTGCTTTGAACGAGACTCAATTCTTCTCAGCTGGCCTTCCTCATGCACCTGAGGGGTCAGTGAAGGTTTGGCTGGTCTTGGATGGCCCTGGCTGGGAGAACTCAATGCTGTTTCATGTGATCTTTTATCTTCCAACAAGCTAGCTTGGGCTTGTTCACACCGTGGTTGCAGGGTTCTAAGAGAATGAGCAGAAACATGCAAGACCTCTTGAGGCCTGGGCTTGGAACTGGCACAGTGCTTCTTCCGCCATATTCTATTGGCCAAAGCCAGCTCAGATTCAAAGGGTGGATGATAGGCTCTGTGTCTCGATGGAAAGAGCTATAAAGTCACATTGCAGAAGATGTGAATACAGGAAGGGGAAGAATTGGGGCCATTTTTTCCATCAGTCTGTCCATAGATGTGTTCAAAAGAACTACTGTGGTCACTCAACTAGCTCATTCTTTATCAAGGGGCTCAGAAAATATTTTGGAATTCAGCACCAGTGATTCTGATGTCAGGGAATGCCAGTCAGGAATTCCCTGTTCTCTCAAGTTAAGCCAACACTTTCAAAACCTAGAAACACCACTTATAGTTCCTTACCAGGACTGAAGGCCATGTCTAATGATTGCAAGCTGGTACTCAAGAAACTCCGTTTGGGAATTAAGGACCAGGCAACTCCACCAGGAATGGCAGAATTAGGCCTTCAAACTGGTTGTTCTGGTTCCAACCCCTGCCGAGAATTTGCTTTTCTAACAAGTTCCCAGGCCATGCTAATGCTGCTGGTTATGGACCAATCCTGAGAACCACTAGTAGAGCAGTGGTTCTCAAAATTTATTATACATAAGAATCACCTGGGAATCTTGTTAAAATATAGATTCTGATTCAGTACTATCTGGAGTCAGAATGGTCAGAGTGCAGGTTCACAGCCCAACACATGCCACACTTCAATAAAAACAGGTGATAACCAGGCCCCACTTTTCCTCCCAGGAATCAGGATGCTCTGAGCACATCTGTATGGGCTCTATCATGCTCCCTCCTCAGCAAATACGAAAGCCTGAAGAAGTCCGCACGAAAGAACAGCTCTTCCCTCTCGCCAAAGAGTTTATCGATCAGTACTACTCGTCAATTAAAAGGCAAGTTCATGTTGACTCTGAGGAGCCTGGGGTAAGTTATCAAGTGCTGGGGACAAAGACTTGAGCTCCAGCTTTGCAGACAATTGAACCAAGGCCTGAACACAGGGCCTCTGCTCATTAATGCCAGACATTGAAAACTGGTGACCCAAGGGCCACATCTGGCCCACGATGTGTTTTCTTTGGCGTGTAAGTTGTTGCTTAAAGTTTGAAACATTTTATGCAATTCCACACCTAGGTATATACCCTAGAGGAACTCTCACACATATTCACAAGCAGGCGTGCATACCAACATATAATAGGAAAAAATTAAAATTAAAGAACCCACTGGAAACTACCTCAATTCCATCACCAGCAGAAGGTATAAATAACCTGTGGTATCTTCCAAGTAAGGAAATAATATTACTAGTTGCCGTCAAGTCAACCTCAACTCATAGTGACCCCATGTGTGTCACAGTAGAATTGTGCTCCATAGGGTTTTCAGTGGCTGATTTTTCAGAAGGAGATTGCCAGGCCTTTCTTCTGAGACACCTCTGGGTGGACTCAAACTTCCAACCTTTCGGTTAGCAGCAGAGCACGTTAACCATTTGCGCCACCCAGGGACTTTTATGGAATACTATACAACTATAAAAATGAATGGATTAGAGCTGTGTATGTTTATGAGACTGAAGTTCACCAATAACCTTGAAAGAAAGAAAGAAAGGGCAAGTTGTAGAAGGACACATTCAGTATAGCGCCAATTATATAAATTTTTAAAACATACAGCATAAAGCTATACATTGTTTAGGGATGTAAACACGTATGGCAAAAGTATAAGCAAGTGCATGAGAATGGTAAATGCCAGATTCAATGTAGCAGTCTCCTCTGGCGAGAGAATGGAGTACGATTCCATAAGAAACTCTAACCATATTTGTTTATTTCTTTGGCTTGGGACATAGATGTTTGTTATACTAGCCTGTATACTTTTCTGGAAGGAGCCCTGGTGTCGCAGTGGTTGCTTGGCTGCTAACGGAAAGGTCAGCCGTTTGAACCCACCCAGTGGTTCCACAGGAGAAAGACCTGGCAATCTGCTCCCATAAGCAGCCTAGAAAACCCTATGAGGCAGTTCTACTCTGTCACATGGGGTCGCTGTGAGTCAAATATCTACTTGATGGCACCTAACAACAACAACATACTTTTTTTGGAAGCCTAAAATTTTTCATATAACTTTTTAAATTTTCTAAAATTGAATTCATTACCATCATTTAAACATTAGAAGAGTTCCAACCCCTGAAACTTCTGCCCTGAGATAATCTTTAAGCTTTAAACCAAAAGTATCCCCTGAAGTCTTCTTAAAACCAAACAATAGTTGAGCTTAACTAGTAAAGAATGTCTGCCTTGAGCACTGTGCTCTTTTAAGATCTGTCTGTATGGAATCAAATTGACAACAGCAACTCTAAAGATTAGACAGGAACCTTAGGGGGCAGTGAGTTTATGTTAATGAGGGAGGAACAACCCAGAAAAGGAGGATGAGAATGGTTGCACAACTCAAAGAATAGAATCAGTGTCACTGAATTATACATATAGAAAGTGTTGAATTGGTATATGTTCGGGTTTGTATTCTCAACATCAATAAATAAATAAATAATTTTAAAAATTAGAAGAATTCCCTTTGAAAATCGTTTCTCTTGAAAGATCTGGCAACTCTGAGCCCCCAATTCTATCAGGCAGTAACTGGTTGGAGGAGAGTTGTTGCTACACTCTTTGGAAGGCATGGGCTGGCTGTTTGCCATAGTCCTCACTGAGCTGGTTTGGTCATATACACACTGCCAGACTTTTGTGGGCATTTAGGTTTGCAATCTCTGCTTTGTGCTCAAACTATTGTGTCCAGAAATCAGCTCGGGATTTTCTGTGGCTGTAAGCCTCCAGCCAACCTCTAAGTCAGGGGAGAGGGTAATGCTCCCATGTCCCTTCTCTCTTCACTCAGATTTGGCTCCAAAGCCCACATGGACAGGCTGGAAGAAGTGAACAAAGAGATTGAAACTACCAGCACATATCAGCTCAAGGACACGGAGCTCATCTATGGGGCCAAGCATGCCTGGCGGAACGCCTCCCGCTGCGTCGGCAGGATCCAGTGGTCCAAGCTGCAGGTAGGTGGTGAGGTTCAGACACCTTGAAGAGCCCACCAGAGGGGGAGGGCAGGATGGGCCTTTAAAAAGGGTCAGCTCCCACCAAGGGCACCTGGTGGCCATGATGACGTCTCAGATGGTGATCATGGGGTCCCCAATGCTTGGACGATAGCTGAATCTGACCTATAATCACATCTTATTTATCCAGTACAGTGCTTTTTAAAAAATGAGTATCTCCTAGGAGGGCTTATATGCTCTAGTTTACCACAGACCCCACCACTTCCTTTTGTCTCACTCTTCTCTTTGCTTATTTATATTACCTACCTAGTTCTCGAAGGCATTAGATTTTGTGTCCCCTAATGCAATTTTTTCTGGTGAATAATTTAAAGTTATGAGTAGATTATTATCAAGTGCAGGGCTTTTTGTTTGACTTTTTTTGGTCCGTTTTGTTTTGTTATTAGATTTAATACCTAATCCCTGTAACCAGCTCATTAAAATTCCCTCCTTTACCCCCTACTGCTTTCCTCCACACACTTACACTCTGTGCCCACTGTTAAGGGTGTTTCCTGTCTGATTGACTGAGGTTATTAGGATAGAAACATATATATATATCTGGGAACCCTGGTGGCATAGTGGTTAAGAGCTATGGCTGCTAACCAAAAGGTCGGCAGTTCAAATCTACAAAGTGCTCCTTGGAAACCCTATGGGGCAGTTCTACCCTGTCCTATAGAGTCGCGATGAACTGGAATCTACTGAACGGCAATGGGTTTTTCGTTTATCTATCTAACTGTCAGGAGCCTTGATGATACTGTTGTTAAGCACTTGGCTGCTAACCAAAATGTCAGTGGTTCAAACACACCAGTGCCTCCAAGGCAGAAAAGACCTGGCAATCTGTTCCCATAAAGATTACAGCCTAGGAAACCCTGTGAGCCAGTTCCACTCTGTCCTACAGGATCACTATGAGTTGGAATTGACTTGAAGGAGACAGGATCTATCTATCTTGTATAAAAAAAATACCAAACCAAACCCATTGCCATCAAGTTGATTCTGACTCCTAGCGACCCTATAGGACAGAGTAGAACTGCCCCATAGGGTTTCCAAGGAGCAGCTGGTGGACTCGAACTGCTTACCTTTTGGTTAGTAGCCGAGCTCTTAACCACTGTTCCACCAGGGCTGCATCTATCTTATATAGCTATATTTATATATGATATAAATATCTGTGTCTGCATATCAATCTATTAGTTATAGATATATTTATGTAAGTTATAAATATATCTATATGTAATAGATATAAATATATCTGTATCTATCTATATATCAAGCCCAGTCTAGGAGTCGGTAATGAGGTGCTTAAATATCCCATGGGGTAGCAGCTGGAGCGGGCTCTAAGTTCCCCTAAAATATCGAAGCTGCACCAGGGAAACAGGAGGGAAGGAGGAGGCAATCAATGCCAAAAATGCACCTCTTGCAGGTATTTGATGCCCGAGACTGCACCACGGCTCACGGGATGTACAACTACATCTGCAACCACATCAAGTACGCCACCAACAAAGGGAACCTCAGGTGAGCTGGCCATCTAGGGAGTTGAGGAAGGAGTCTGATGTCTCCACAGCATTGATCCTTGGGTCTGGAGTGGGCTTACCTGCCAGAGAAATGCTGCCCCTCCCAGGGAGATGGGCCAAGATGGCAGAGGTCTCCTGGCATCCTTGGTCCACCCCTCCCGTGCCATCTCTTCTGGGAAAAGCAGACTCCAGCGTGGTTTGCAAAACTGTTGAAATAAAAATCATGTTTAACCCACTCTTTGATATCGCTCACCCAGAGGGCAGGAAGGGATGTTCGAGATTCTTGGGAATAGGAACAGGAAAATCCCATTGCCAGGGGTGACCTGCTTTACCATCTCCTGCTCGGTTGCCTGGCACTGCCTCAGCCTCTTCCCTGGTCTAAAGGGCAATTTCCCTTCCTGCTGTTATGGGGACTGGTCCTTCAGGTTCCACCAAGCCAAGCCCACACCTAGGACTCTTCTTGCCCTGATACAAAGAACAAAGCCCCAGTGAGCAGGCCAGGAGGAAGGCATTGGTGGGGACTGGTAGCTTCTACCCTGGGCACCCATCAGCTGGGAGAGGCACGCAGGAGGGGAACAGCTGGGTCCCACAGACGGGCATTACTCTTGTTAATCCTGCTTGCTCATTCCTGCCCCACCATCTGTTCTCAGCTGCTGAGGACCAGCCCCATCTCAGGCCCACACAGGACCACTGCAGGGATATTCCCACAAGTCCCTGGGCTATACTGAGTGCACCCACATGTGGCTTATTTGCATTAAGCACAGATCTTCTTGGATGTGCCTCTTTCTTGGGAAGAAAACAGCATTGTCAGTGGACTGAGTCAGTAGGAAAAGAACTTGTAATCTAAGCCCAGGGGCTGGATGGAGAATTGGTATTAAGGTTTCTTTCCTAAAAGACCCCACCACCAGAGACCATCTAAGAACCCACCCAGTCAAGGTCTCTGCCCTCCAAGAGTGTTTGGGCTATTCAGGTGGCTTTCAAACGGTGCTGTGAGAAGGTGATATGGGGTGGAGGGTGACACTACAGACTACAGGCCAGGCAGATGGGGCTGTTGGCCCCAGCCCGCCTCCCCCTCCACACACACACTTCAACCAGTTCCCCTCCACTTTTTTCAGTTATCTGTTGGAGGTCTTCATGAAATCTTTTATTAAAGAAAGTATTCAGCTGATTCTTTAAAAGAAATGTTTAAACCTTATGTCTGAAAACTATGAGAAAGCAACAGGAGAATGTATACCACATATGGAAAGACTCTATACATACGAGAAGGAGGAAGGCATGTTAGAAGAAGGAGAGAGAGAGAGAGAGGAAGAAGGAAAGAGAGGCGAGGAGAGGAGACGTAATTCAACAGACCTGCCGTTCAGTGAAATTATGCTTAGGAGAGGCAGGAGATGGGAGGCGTAAATGTGTTATACTTCCTCGGTTGGTCTTGGTTCCCGCACCCAAAGTGTGATTCTTGTGTTTCTAAACATGCATTTAAAAATATACATATTACACAATCATCGCTGTAGCCGGTGCTCAACCAAAGAAACAGCAGTGGGTTTTAATGCTGGAGGGAGAACTGGCTGTTTGACTCACTCTGTTCATTTCCAAAATGGCGCCTTTGCTAAGAGATTTTCAAGAGTAGTTTTGACTGTGATTTTCACCTTAAGCCCTAACTTTAGACTAACCCGTGGGTATGACGCACCACCCCACTGGTATTAAATGCTATACCTGTTGTTTGCCTTTTTTTTTTTTTTTTTTTTTTGATCACTGCCATTCTAAGAGGGGTGAGGAGGCATCTCATTGTATTTTTGACTCACCTCTCCCTATTGGCTAATGACGTTGCACATCTTTTCATGTGCTTGTTAGCATTTGAATAACCTCTTTGGTGAAATATCTGTTCAAGTCCTCTGCCCATTTTTTGATTGGGATTTTAGTCTTTTTGTTGTTAAGTTGTAGAAATTTTACGTGTATTTTGGATATTAGACCCTTATTGAACATATGGTCCCTGAAAATTTTCTCCCAATCTGTAGATGATCTCTTCACTTTCTTGATAGTCCTTTGATAATCAGAAGTATTTAATTTTTATGAGGTTCCATTTATCTGTTTTGTCTTTTGCTGTGTGTACTTTTGGTGTCATATCTGATAATACATCATTAAAAAACTAGGTCCCAAAGCCTCACCGCTAGATTTTCTTCTAAGAATTTCATAGTTTTAGTTCTCACAGTTCGGTCCTTGATCCATCTTGAATTGATCTCTGTGCATGGTGTGAGGCTTGGATCCTGATTTATTCTTCTGCATTTGGAAATCCAGTTTTTCCAGCACCATTTATTGAAGAGACTATTCCCTCACTGAGTGGATTTAGTACTCTTATTGAAAATCAGTTGACCATAGATACGTGCATTTATTTCTGGACCCTCAGTTCTATTCCATTGGCCTATATGTCTATTATTATACCAGTATGGCAACCAACAACAGTAACAACCAGGCTGTTTAATTACTGTGGCTTTACGGTTATGTTTTGAAATCAGGAAGTTTGAGTCCTCCTACCTTATTCTTCTTCTTCAAGATTGCTTTAGCTATTCGGGGTCCCTTCCCCTTCTACATAAATTTGAGGATTGGCTTTTCTATTTCTGTCAAGAAGGCTGTTGGAATTTTGATGGGGAAGTTGATTTCTTTTGAATCGAAAGTCTGTAAACTTTGGTGTGGTATAGATGGTGGGCAGATTGGACAAGAATTAACAATGGAGGCAGGATAAAGTCTGGAACTGGGAATCGATAGTGCATTCATAAAGGGAAACAGGCTCAGTGCTGTTCCCTGGGGATCACCTACTGTAAAGGAACTCCCTGGAAGGGTGGCTCACGTTGATATTAAGTCTCCGGCTAGAAAAGCATTCTCCTCCCTTCAGGGAGCTGGCATGGGGCATCCCACCCTCCACCCTGTCTTAGATCTGGTATACTGGTGGAGGAACCGGGCAAGGTCACCCCCTTCCAACTGCTGCTCCTCCAGCCCTGGTGACTTCGGCACAGATGCAGTCCACCCTGTGCCTCAAGCAGTCGTTGGCCAGGGCGGCCTCTTCTCCAGGATGTCCCCAAAGGGCAACTCCTGCCCTGACTCCAGGTGTCCCCCTCTCTCTGCCACAGGTCTGCCATCACCATATTCCCCCAGAGGACAGACGGCAAGCATGACTTCAGAGTCTGGAACACCCAGCTCATCCGCTATGCAGGCTACAAGCAGCCTGATGGCTCCATCCTGGGGGACCCAGCCAATGTGGAGTTCACAGAGGTGCGAGCGTGGTGATCCCACCCCCACCCCAGCCCCATCTGGGCTCTCATCCCCCTAATCTGTCTTTATCCACAGACTTCTCTTAGTTTAATGTTATCATGATGGGGAGAGGGCTGTAAGCAAGGCAGCCAGCAGGAACAGCTTACTCTTCCCCAGACCCATTCCTTTGGGTTCTTTTACAGCTGGTCATTTGGTCATTCTCATGCCATTACCTCCCCTGACCCTCACAATGGGAACTATTGTCCATTTTACAGATGCGTAGATTGAGTCCCACAGAGACCAAATGAGTTATCCAAGGTTACTAAATGAGTAGAGGGAAAGCTAGGACTACTGCCTAAATCCACTGCCTCCCCACCCAGAGCCCACTCATTCCACAGGTCCAGAGGAGCCAACTTATGGAAGCTATGTCTGGAATCCACCTTTTCTGAGTTGAGGAACATGTCAAACCCATGTCAGTCATTGATTTATTTGTTGATACAACAAACTATTGATCTTCTACTCTATCTACCCAACACCTCTTTGGGTTGGCTTGAGTCTTCTTGGCACCAGTACCACCACAACTCCTAGTAGCCCAAGTCGATTCACAGAAGCCACCAGGACAGTGAACACCACCATCTCCCCAACCAGGGTTCCTTCTAGGTGGGAATGCAGACAGATAGAGCAGGTGAGGCATAGTAGCTTACACTGACTGTGCCCATAGGAGACATCATGCCTAGAACAATCTCAAGCACACAGGCCTGGTGCCCCCTTTTATTTATCACCCAAACCCCTCCACAGTTAAGCTCCGTCTTTGTCCTTTATTCAAACCCCTCTCCAACTCCACCCCAATACCTCCTCCAAGATGGAGCTGGCAAGGCCAAGGGCTGCTCCTCTCTTGTTGCTGTTGACTTCATTTGCATGTGGCTTTTCTTATTAGAATGTTATTATCATGAGGCGGGGACTGTAACTAGGGCAACCAGGAGTGGCACCTGTGCACTTGTAGACTCAGCCAGACTTGCTGCTCCACTTGGCTGAGCGCTAACTGTGTACTTGGCTGACCTTGACTTCTTGGTGCCCGAACAGAAACTCTACCGCCTCTTCCCCCCATTCTGGCTGCAGAAACCTTGACGACCAAGACATGTTCTCCAAAGCCTATGATTTAGTGCTTCCTCTTTCTGCTAACACAGCATGAAGAATCTCTCCAGACAGATCCACATCATTATACCTTTTGAAACCCTCTAGCCCTGCGCTGTTCAATATAGTAGCCACTCACCACATGTGGCTACTGAGCGCTTGAAATGTGGTGAGTCCAAACTGAGATGAGCTGTAAATGCAAAGCACACATCAGATCTCAAAGACTTAGTACCAGAAAAAGAATGTAAAATCCCTCATTAATAATTTTATTTTGATTATATGTTTAAATGATAATACTGTGACTATATTGGGTACCTATATGTATTATAAAACCCACTGTCACTGCGTTGATGCCGACTCATAGCGACCCTATGGGATAGAATAGAACTACCCGATCCAAGGCTGTAATCTTTACAGAAGCAGACTGCTACATCTGTCTCCTGCAGAGTAGCTGGTGGGTTTGAACTGCCAGCCTTTCAATTAGCAGTTGAGCACTTTAACCTCTGCATCACCAAGCAAGCCAAACCAAACCAGTCGCTACTGAGTTGATTCTGACTCATAGCAACCCGACAGGACAGAGTAGAACTGCCCCATAGGGTTTCCAATGAGTGACTGGTGGATTCGAACTGCTGACTTGTTGGTCAGCAGCTGAGCTCTTAACCACTGCACCACCAGGGCTCCTATAAATTAATACACTTATTCAGTTAATAAATACATTATAATTTTAATGTTAATTTTTATTAAAATATATTA